TCCCACCCCCCCGCCGCCGCCTCCCGCCGCCGCCTCCGTCCGCACCTCCAGCCCCACCATTCAGCGCGCAAGATACCCGCCAGGTAAGGTGCCGCTCCGCGGGGCCGGGCTCCCCCCTTCGCCCGGGGGAGGAGGAGGAGGGAAGAAGAGGGTGAGGGACATCCTGCCGCGGCCCCTGCCTGCCCCAAATCCCTTTGGCATCATCTGTCCCCGACGTGTTTAAATCCCAACAGGATCCGGGCAGTTTCACAGAGATGCTGTGCACATGGGGTGGTGCCAGCCCCCCACCGAAGGGTTTGCCAGGCTTAAGGGGGAAACGGGTTAATGTCCCTGTGAGGACCCCGCACCCCTCGTGACACGCTCTCGCAAAGGCAGCAGAATAATACGGTCAGAGCTCTGAATGTCCCTACCTTGATTTATTTTTTTGGTAGCCATTCGTTTGGGCTTCGATGACAGGTTGCTGCTCTTCAAGGCTTGCGGGCCTTTTTAAAATATTCTTGGGCACAGAAGAAAAAAAAAAAAATCCCAGTTATTTACTTTGCAGAGTAATTAATGTTGGTGCCTAAGAGGGAAAGTCGGGTTTAGAATTAGTCGAGTGTGCTGGCAGAGGGTGAGTGAGGCAGGAGGAATCCAGAAGCAGGAGAGACCAGACCTTTAGGTTAGGGTTATTTTTTCTATCCTCAGGTCATACTTATTTTAGACTTCTGTTTTCTTACTCCACTTTGCACAGAAGTCAGCAACATAACCCTGTTATGCCCAGAAAAATGCAGGGGGGGGGGGGAAAACCCATAATTACCTGTTTCCCTGAACTCCTGCTGGTTTTCTGAGCTAGCAAAAAAGCCTTTTTCCTTTGCAGGGCTGTATATCAACATGTCCACTTTGTGTCATTATCTGTCCACTCTCTTAGTTGTGTTCCTCAGTCAGTCCTCAATGGAGGTCCGAGGAAGGAATTTCTTTCCCTTTTTATTTGATTAAGCACCAATCGCTGTGTTTTAACAGACGGTCCTTAAACTAACAAACGATTGTAATTGGACTTGGGATGAAATGACATGGACAGAAATTCATGGGGAAAAAAGGAGAACAGTAGGAAAACACATAAATAACAATGGGAGGCAAGGCTTGTGAAAGAGTTATCCTGCTTTTCTTCTTGAAGTACTTGGATTTACAAGCAGGAAGGTCTTAATTTCAGAAAATAGTACAATTTTTTTCTAGTTTTTAATGGTTTTTTTGAGAAGATGAAAGATCTGAATGGTTTGTGACAGTACAGTAAATTAAATCTGGTGCTTAGTTTAAAAATGTTTATCTGCAAAGCGGGAAGGAAAGAATTAAAAGTTGATACAACACAATTTTTTTTTTATTGCTGCATGCCAGGCTCAAGAGAATATTTTAAAATTGTGAGTGAAGGGAGTTTTTAAAATACTGAGGAAAATCCCATTCTTTTCAAGCAAGCTTCTTTTTTCTTTTTCTTTTTTTTTTTTTAGTATGAATTGTTTCTCAAGTGCTTTTGGAATATAAATTACCACGATTAGAAAGGCATTAACTGCACTTATAATTTATACAAATTTCCTCCATATTTACTTTTATTTTCTTTTTAAAAGAGAATATATACTAATTGATTAATTTTCTTCCTCTGCTGTGGAACCAAAATATACCACACACTTCTAGTTCTGGTCTGGAATCACAATGTTTAGCCAGGCAAATCTCAAATGGATTGCAGAATTGGTTCCATTATTTCCTGAGAGCAACAAAAGAAACAGCAGACTAGGAGGAAATGTAAAAGAAAAAAAAATAATTCGAATCTTTATAGCCAGGCACTGTGTTGCTTCAACTATCCCAGCTATCAGTGAACCACATCAACTTTTATGACTAATGGATAAAAACAATTCTATTAGTAGCCTCAACCTTGCTGGCCTATAAAAACAGAAACAGAAATACCACATACTTTTTCTCTTACATGTTTGCAAATTTAGGGATATGTGGTACTACCTAGGTTTTTTTTAGGAGAATAATCTACCACAGATAAGCCTTAAAACTACTAGATAGAAAGGAACCTTAAATTATTAGCTGACCAGAAATACACTTTTAAGGCCTAGAGTTGAGCAAGCACAGCTGCTGTTTGCAAGTCCTAAGTAGCAAGCAATGTGAGTTGAGTCGTTCCTCTAGCATGCACTGCTGATGCTGGTTCTCTTTAAGTATATATAATTTTTAATATTATGCATTTGATAATCCCTTTTACCCTTCATTAAAATTTTATGGCACAGTTGCACACATGCAGAGAGAGATTTAGAGCCAAAAACTGTTTTCATCCTGCTTATCTAATTCTCATTGACACCTGTGTATATTAAGCAGCAGATGTAGGGCAGCTTGACGTGGCTGCTTCGTTCGCTGGCACTCGTATCAATCTGAGTTGCTCCTGTGACTCGATGAGAACAGGCCCTCTAACACCTAAAGCTTAGTCAATCCCCAATGTGTACTTCTTGTTGAAAGGCAAAGACTCGAGGATAGTTTATGTGGCCCCTGTCCAGGCAGGAGTGGGAGTCAGGTGTCCAACCGAGCGCCGTGAAATGTGGGGAAGCTTCTGGGAGGGAAGTTTGCAGGGGCCTGGGCGGCAGGCTCGGCACGCTGGGCTCATGGTTAACGCTCCCCTTTGCCCTCGCAGATATGCCCTGTGTGCAAGCGCAGTATAGCCCTTCACCGCCCGGTTCGAATTATGCAGCTCAGACCTACGCGTACGGCTCGGAGTACAGCTCGGAGATCATGAACCCTGACTATGCCAAGCTGACCATGGACCTGAGCAGCACCGAAATCACTGCCACCGCCACCACCGCCCTTCCCAGCTTCAGCACCTTCATGGAGGGTTACTCTGGAAGCTACGAGCTCAAGCCTTCCTGCCTCTACCAAATGCAATCTGCTTCCTCCGGCCCAAGGCCCCTCATAAAGATGGAAGACACCCGGCTCTCCCCGTACCAGCCCTCGCTCCCAGCCTCCACGGACGAAGGGATGCCCAGCACTTCCATGTACTTCAAGCAATCTCCGCCCTCCACGCCCACCACACCCGGCTTCCCCGCTCACCAGAGCCTGTGGGAGGAGCCCCCCCTGCAGCCCACCCAGACCTGCCTGCCACCTGGACACCTGATGGACACTGCCCCCATGAAGACTGTGCCTCCGCGCTTCCCCCTCTTCCACTTCAAGAACTCTCCCCCGCACACGCCGACCGCCCACATGTGCTACGACCCTGCCTCCCTCAGCCTGCCCCTGGGCTCCGACAGACCCGCCGCCAGCCAGACGCCCATGGAGGGTCATTCCTACGGGCTTCACCTGGCCAAAAGACCAGCCACCTTAGCCTTCCCACCGCTCGGCCTCAATGCAGCCGCCTCCAGCCTCATGGGG